CTTCTCGTATCACTGCTATGCAGACGACACCCAGCCGTACGTTATGTTCCCACAGTCTTGGGATAATAGATGAAGAAGCAACTTTGATATTTAAATTGTGATGGAGAATTCAGGCTGTGGTTATCTCTTGACTTGACCACTTCAGTGCTCCTCTACTTCAGTGACTTCCCTGCACACATTGTCAGACCACTGCATATGGTCCAGATTGGAGCATGTCTCATCTTTGATCAGTCTAAAAGGGCACATTTCATTCTGATGCTTGCTGACCTTCTCTGACCTTATTGAACAGATTTAGTTCTTACACCAAGGTTTCCTAATACACTGAAGCTTTACTGTTGTCCCTCACTTGTAAATCACTCTGGATTAGAGCATCTACCAAATGAGTGAATGTATGTATGTAACATATGATGGAGTAACATTAACAGAGCAAATGGGAGCAAATCAAAATAAAAGAGCATCACAACTAATTAAACAGTGCAGATTGTTGTTTTTCAGAAAGTTTTTTTCTGAGTACATATAGATCATTGAGGCCAAGTGGCCTTTCTGTTTGGACGGAGAGGACACAGATACACAACTGCAGGGGGCAACATCATCACATGCAGTTCACATGCATGTTCTCACAGATTCAGAGAGTCAGTCTACCTGCCGTGCAGACTGGTAAAATGAATCCATAATGTCTCATCCCCAAATTGACGCTTCTGTAACACAACCCTCCCACTTAAGTGTTGGAGGTTTCAGTGGTGATGCTTCTCATTCACTTTGAAGAGGGTGACGTCATTCGTCGCCAAGCTGCATTATGGTTCTATGGCTCTAACACTTTGCTTCTGTTGCTGTGGTAGAAGCTGTGAAAAGTCCAGCTTTTTAAGAAAACACATCAGCTGGACAACATGCATTGCATTTCTTTCCAGCCTCATCATTTATTGGTGACGTCCCTGCCTTTAATAAAAGCATTTCTTCACTGGTTTAAAAACAAAAAAGAATCCTTTGATCGTTCTCCATTACCATGTTCCCCAAAAATGAATTTCCTGTTGCCATTTAGGTGAACAAAAACACAGCTTTAGGAGACATGATTGTATTTTTACTAGATTTCAACATCACACTTTTAATTGGAATATTTGTACCTATAACCTTCATCTCAAACATTTCTGACGCCATACCAATCAACTGAGACGAATAAAAGTGTTTTGCCTCAAATAGTATAACTGTGAAGAATCAGGGACAGTGGGCCACCTCCGAAAAGTGGTTGAATCTTAAATTTTCCTCCTAGTCATTTTTCAACGCCGTGAACGCCATGATGTATAAAGGTATACTTGCCTCCTCGAATAAAATACAAAAATCTTCTGCAGCAACAGACCACAGCACAAAAGATGACTGAGAATGTATATTTTCACGTACTTTGGATGAACTTCAAAACATTAAAAATTCATCAAGCAGACTCTGTGTCTTCGTTCACAGTTGGCTGCACTCTGTTTAAGGCGACGTCTCTGAAGGATCTGTCAGGCAGCATGTAAGCTGAGTTGGAGGATGGAGAGAGGGCAGCTCGTCAATAACTGTAAAAGGACACCTGGCCTATATAATCTGATTCCTTTCCAAGGGTTTCCTCCATCAACGCTGCGCAGACTTCCTCTCTTTCTTCATTCCATTATGAGAAACAGGAGACAGAGGGACGGCACAAACAAGGGCCGAATGCCTAATGAAGCAAAGCTCACATCAACATGCCATATTAATGAAATACAGTTCAACAGCATGTTAAAGCATGGGCAGCCTTTGAAGGTAGACTTTGGGAGGCCTGATAAGACTGGGATTTGAAGCAGGAGTTAATTAACAAGTGTCTGAGAGGAGTGTTTGTGCTGAATCAAGGGTGAGTTATCAGTTGCCCTGCTGCACGTCTCCCCTGGCAATTCGGCACAAATTGAGAGAGCAGAACAATTCCCCAGGAATTTGGTTTAATTTCTTCTGTCAGAGAGATTCCACTGAACCATGTTAACCCCCGACTGCATCAGGAAATGAAGTTGCAAAAGAGGCTTAAGGTTTCTAAACAACAACAAAAAAAGACACAAACAAAAAAGAGAGGCTGACTGTGTTCTTCACCAGCACACTGTGAAGAGAAGACAATATTTCAATCATTAAAAGTTTTTTTTTCATTCATTGTTGAGTAAACAGAGAAAAATAAATCAAATTGATATTTGCTGTGTCCTGTCTTTCTCCTCATTTCACCTGCACACTGTTTCTCAGGTACTGGGCACTAGGCTGTTCAGCAGGAGACCTCTCATAGCTCTTCTGATGTTTCAATGTCTAGGGCCCTGAACATTGTAAGAGACTCCTCACAACCTCTCTGCAATTTCTTCCCCCCAAAAAACTAAACTGCTTCTTACCTTGGTAAGAACAAAATAATAATAAAGTTTGATTTGATTTGATTTGATTTGATTTGAGATCGGGGCTCTGTGGGGGCCACACCATCTGTTGGAGGACTCCTTGTTCCTCTGGTCTCTGAAGACAGCTCTTTAATGCCTGCTGGCATTTTGCTACAGAAACAGAGGCAGCTATTGTTTATTGGGAGCTGCATGAGCTAGTGTTTATGGGTCATGATTATATCACTCTGTGTAAATGAGAGGAACTATGTGATGGATTGACCTGAAAGACAACTCAGCCCAGGTCATTTATTTATTATTTTCATTTAAGTTCAACTTTATACAGTTTATTTTGTTCATTGAACGAACAAAACAATTAAGGTGTCAACTCCAAATCTCAAACCATCTCATATAATCAGCCCCTCTTTCACAATCCATTAATTAACAAAGCAAATCATTCAAGAAGAAAAAAATGGAAATATGTGCAGGGCCAACACAGTCACTAACACCTGTCTGTTTGTTTGAGGTTACTGTCAATTTTGTACCAAATTGATTCACCTTTCATAATAAAGCAGAACGAAACAAAACCCAACTGACCATTTCATTACATTTCTTCAACATCCTGGTTTTATATGTTTTTTTATTCCTCCATCACTATAATGATTGTTCATCCATGTTGTCTTAAAACCTGAGGTGAGTGGAGAGATTGAGCTGCTGTTTCTGAGGTCAGGACCTCCACACCATCAGTTCACAGTTTCAGGCACTCTGGAGATAAAACATTATAGTTTACTTCCAGTTTAAGAGACAATGGTTAACAGTCATGAGTAATTTTGCTCCTGCAGCCTTGTTGCATCCCAATATACTGTCTAGTTCAGATTGCCTTTGCTCCTCCCCTCTCTTGCTCGTGGATTATCATGTAATCCCTGATATTCATCAGCCGGGGAGGTCAGAAGTCATCTTATTACAATTCTAGAGCATCACTCTCATGTGGATGAACTGGATGTTCTGGTTAAAGGAAGAGGCACAAACATGGATAAACAGAACGATTCTGTTACCTAACCCCTCTGAGCAGTACATGGCCTCCACCTCAGGGTGTTGATTTTAAATCTTTGACACACCTGGGAGGTGACAGGAGCAGAGGGCAGCTAATAAAATATGGATCATCAGGAATTGAATCCAGAGCCTTATGACCCATAGTCAAACTCCTTATCCATATCCCCACACTGACGGAGCTGTGTAGGGATCAGTTTGGTTTTCACAACAATGGAAAAGGAAAAATCCACATGCCCTGTCTGAAATATAGCACACAAACCAGTCCACCTTTCCACTGCTGCTGTGACCCAGATTTAAACTGGGGTTTGCTGCAGCCACAACACAATGTACTGACCATATACGATCACAGCCACTTGATAATGTCACTGAGATGAAACATCTTGATCTGTGGGTATGAGTCAGGTTCACATATTAGTTCACTTTATGGAGGACAGTTTATTTTCACAAATCAAGGGCAGTACATCTTAACAGCTTGGTGACTCTCAGTCACAGTGAACTGCTTGGGTGGACATTTGTCTTCTTAGTTTAAAGGAGATATATTATGCTCTTCCATATTTTAGAACATCCTTACAATGTTATAATGTCATATGTCCATGCTGAACCTCTGCACAACATGAGCTATAGGGGTCCTGCCGTCATCCACCAACTAGATTTCACATGGTTTCCAGTCTCTCTGAACGCTCTGTAATGAGATCTCTGCGAGATGCTAGCAGAGCCTGATGTCAGGTTTGGGACTTTTCTTGACATCCATACAAGAAAACTAAGGAGTTGTTGGAGCTGAAAATCATGCAGAGCTCCTCTGTAGGCGTTCAAAACTGACACAATGGTAAGTAAAAAACAGTAAAATATGTATAATACATCTCCTTTAAAAGTGAGTAGACAGGGTAAGCAGACTAGTGGTTTATAAGTTCTTGGAGTCGAACAGAGGATCTCATCACTATTGACACATGAGCCTGACTCAGTCTGGGATTGCTGCAGCCAAAACACAGACTGCTGACCATTATACAATCGCAGCTACTTGCCCCCCTGCTGGGTACATTTTGAAGGTTAAACATACTGTCTTAGCAGTGTGGGTTTTCCTAAATGAGAGAGTTAAGTCCACAGGTAGTTCAACACTGCTGTGTGGCCTTCAGGGACAGTTTGCTTTTCAAATGCAAAGCAGTAGCAAGTAAAACTGAAAAGACCAACAAGTTTCAAGGCACTTCCACATGACTCTCAGCGAACCACCTTACACAACTGCAAACAACTTCTTTAAAGTCTAAAAGTCAGTGGACATGTAGAATGGATTTTTACAATTACAAACATACACTACACCACTGTTGCTGTGACCCGGATTCGAACCGGGGTTGCTGCGGCCACAACGCAGAGTACTAGCCACTATACGATCACAGCTACAAGGTAATGGCAGTGTGATAACACATTTTGATCTCTGGCTAACTGAGAAACAAGAAATACATAATGACTGTGAGTGAACAGACTTCTCAAATCTGTAAATATCTGTGATTATGGGGCTTTACTGTTATTATCATGTGATTTATAAGATAAAAGTTATTTTTGAATAGACTAGAGTCAAACTTACAGTCTCCACAAATCAGGTGCTGTGATGCAGATTTGAACCAGGGATGCTGCAGCCTCAACGCAGCGCACTAACCACTACACAATCACAGATACTTAACAATGTCAGCATGGTAACACATCTTGATCTCTGGCTGCTCTTCTCTGTGATTCAATACTGCTGTGCCACCATCAGAGACAGTTAGTCTTTGCAAAAACACCAAAAGCTTCATGACAGTGAGGGAACGGCTTTAACTTTTCGAATCTGTAAACATACAGGGGTTTATTATGGTGAACATGTGATTTATAAGATAGACTGTGTGGACATACAGTCCACACAGATGCCATCACCTGGATTCGAACCAGGCTTACAACGCAGCGTAGGCTACTTAGCACTATACAGTGATGGCTAGATCCTATCACGTATGTTTTACCTGTATGGGTTATAAATGAGACAGTTGGGTCACAGACAGTTTGCTGTGTGACATTCAGGGACAGTTTGTTTTTCAAATAAAGCACAGAAGCAAGTCAGAGAACAGCAGCTTTGACACACATGGGTCTATGAACACTTTTGTCTTTAAAGTGTAAACATTTGCTGCAGAGGAGGATTTCTCCAATGATGAATATGTGATTTGTAAGCTGAACATACATATGAGTCAAACAGAGGATCCCCTAGTACCGCTACTGATGCCATGACACAGATCTGAACATGGGTTAAATATGGTGCTACAACACAGAGTACTAACTATCATACGATCACAGCCACAGGCCGTTTTACAGGTCTTTGAGCTCTGAATATCAAACATAGGATCTCACCTGAGTGTGTTTCACTGAGGGGGACAGTGAGGTTCACAGACAGCTCGTTTAACACTGGTTAGTCAAACTGAAAACAGCAGAAGTGTCATGATGGATTGATGTACTGACTGACTGACTGAGGTATAATGTCCTCTAGAGATGGGGAACTGCATTTAGCTGACAGTGCTTCAATTTTTTACAGAGGTTTTAACAGGAGATATTACTGGGATCTGAGTGCAGGATTTGTCATCCCGGAGAAGAAGAATATGAGTAGTTCAATATTTGAAGCACATAAGAGTATTTGTGAGGCAGATAAATGGAAGCAGGCCAGCGAGTTTTTCTGTTATCAAATTCTCCCACTTCAGATGTTTTAACACTATAAATCATCTAAATGTGAGAAGCAAACATCTCATGCAAAACCACTGACAGGCTCCCTCAGCCCAATCAGTTGCCATGGCAACTTCACTACAATCACTCAAAAAAAAAAAAAAAAAAGACACCCTGCAACACACAAGAGGAGTTGTGTGTAATTTACTCCGCAAGCTACTAGTGTGAAACATAAACAGGAGGTAAATCCTCACATACAACTTAATTCGTCCCCACAGAGCAGAGGTCACATGACAACAACATGGACGTCACCTGCACAGCAGCTGATGTTCTGGTTATTAGATCTGGACCCAAACAACCACCTGCTTCTTGTACAGCAGTGATGCAAATCATGGATGACATAATAGCGTGCATGTGTATGTGTGTGTGTGTGTGTGTGTGTGTGTGTGTGTGTGTGTGCATGCGCGCTCTGTGTTTTATCTCCTGTCCTCTTTATTAATCCTCTCTGTGTTTCCATGTCTGACTGCACAAACTTTGTCAATCAGGCTTTAGCTGCATTTAAACAAAAGCCTTTCAGTAGAATACAGTTTATAGTGAAGAATCATGATCAAGTGGAGACAAGCAGCTCTGCACTGTAGAAAAAACCCTCTGTTTTAAGTCTGTTTGTCATACTTCGAAGTGAGGTTGAATGTGGCTGGCAGCAGCTGCAAAGGGAGAGGAGCTAGATCTCTCTCTTTTTTGGCTAATCACTTAGAAAAGTAAGAAAACACATTGTGTGACACTGAATTGTGTTTTTGTAGTTAATATGAACGGTTTTAATAGTTTTTTGTTGAATTGACATAAAATATAATTGTTCAAGTCATTTTTAATTTTAACTCACATATAACACAATATAACATTAGCCTGTGCGTGTGTGTGTGTGTTATGTATATGTTTTTACTTTACATTTACAAGTATGGAAATCCACTGTATGTAGAGATATTTGATTTGAGGCAGTTTGTTAATTTGTCTGAACACAGCCAAAGTTTAATGCTTAAACTAAGCCTTAAGATGCACTTTGACCTTTCATATACTGCTGACTCTCTGAGATGAGACTGTGAATGGGTGCCTTTGGAGACGGTTGTAGCCTATTACGTCATGGTAGTACGCCTGTTACCTTTAGTAGTAGTGGAACTATGGATGTCATTTTTTACAGTGTAGAAGAAGCGAGAACTGGAGATGAGAGGTGGGAGGAGGAGGAGGAGGAGGGGGTGAAAAAAGAGGAGGAGGAGGAGACTGGACCTGCTGTCAAACACAGATGAAAACACAGCAGCAGGTTTCAGGAGGGCACCGCCGTTGGATAATCGCATTTATTCTCTCCTCGGCAGCGGCGGGGACCAATGGACACAGCGGTGCGACGCGCCGGGGGACAAGAAATCAGAGTAATTTAATTCCCTCCAACTCCACAAAGCCGCCGGGGCGACGTCCGCTGCGGCCGCCGGTGATGCTGCACAGACAGTAAACTTCAGACAGGATTTACAAACTGTGGAGACCGAGGTAACTGCTGCTGCTGCTGCTGCTGCTGCTGACTCCTGGCTCCTGCGTCTGCTTATGTTCTACTTAATGATAGGCTAAGATCAATTATGTGGACGAGTCTTAATCAGTGAGGAGCATCTTCATTACAGCAACAGCTGAGAACATGCACAGGGCAACGAGCAGAGACATGATAGAGCTGTGGGAGAAAACCTACGACCTGTGAGGTGAGAGACTGAAAGATACAATTTTATTTTCTCAAAGTTTAACCTTAAGTTTTATTTAACAAGGAACCTATGGCGGCCTGTAGAGCCAGCCAGAGGAGCCACACTGAGCTCATTTCCACCAATAAATAATCAGAATAAGAGTTAAAGATCCACCTGCCAGAGGAACATCAGAGAACAATGTTCCTAATGTGATTCAAATTACAGTTAAATACTGATCAATAAATCAATGGTCAGTGTAGTGTTTCAGGGGGGGTCTCCTGTCTCATTATACTCTGGCTGTGAAATGTAACCTGACTTCTTCTGTATTACTAAACATCCAAAATGAAGTTACATATTATATGCAAAAATATTCAAATATTCATCTAAAATTTCTTTTGCGAGTATATGGGTGGAAGTAAGAGGGTAATGAATGTGTCGTTGAATCAGCTGTGTGGAGGATTAAAATAGAGGTTGTTTCTACAAACCCAGTGGCTGCAGCTGTGTTGATTGTTTTGTCTTGTCATTTGTTTTCAGAAATCTATACTGGTCTCCAATTGAATTAAATTTGTTTTGTGGAGCAACAGCGCTGATAAATTACATTCTAAAAATGCAACATCTGAATAAGAGGCTGACTGGAGTCCACATGTGATGAACTAAATTGACTGGACTTACAATATTTCAAAAAGGCACTGACCTGTGTTGGCTATATAAGGTCACACAATTTACAAGTCAGGACAAAAACTAAGGAACTCTCTGTAGACTTATGTGATAAAACTGTGGTAAGGTCAAAGGTGTAAAATCCTTTCTAAAGCTCTGAGTATTCCCTGGGGAGAAGTGGCCTGAATAATGGTGAAATGGAAGAAGTCTGGAATCACCAGGACTCGTCATTGGCTATCAAGACAAACTGAACAGCCTGGCAAGAAAGGTCTTGGTCAGGGAGGTGGCAAACAACCCGACAATTGTGGGAGTACAACCATCTAAGCAGCTATCCATCAATCAGACCTTTATGCCACAGAGAGCTGACAGAAGAGTCTTTGAGGAAAAGTCGTTTAAAGGACCCTGAGAGCATGAGGAGGGGGCATGATGTCAGAAAATGACTATGATTTGAGAATTGTGTGTAAATTGTTGCTACAAATTATCTGTTATAAGGTAGGTTTGAAGGATTGTAGGTTCAACAGCTGCATAGTGTTGGGTGTCATCTGCATAGTGATGAAAGTCAACAAATCAGTGCTTACACATGACAACTTAAATGCTGTTTCTGATGAACTTAGACAACAAATATATGCATTTATAGAAAATGCAACTTCACAGGGACTTGATGTTGAAAAGGCTGTTTTGTTATTGTGATTTTATCATCACAGATTGATTGGCTACTTTGAAAATCCACTGCCATTACATCCTGTCAGTTGGACGTACAGATACCTCCTCTGCCTTGTCACACACCCTGCAGCCAGCATGCCCATCATCAGCAATGCCAACCACGACTTCAGCACCTACTCCATCAGCAGTGATGACAGCAGCCTTGACCGCTTCTTCACTGAGATCCCAGAAACTGAGACCATCAAAGGTGTTTACTTCCAACGTGCACAGCTGCTCCGTGACCCCAAGGCCTCCTATGTGGTTGACCACACCCTGCAGGTTCTCATCAATGTCGGGGGCAACCGCTACACCTTCCCCTGGAGCACCTTGGAGCAGTTTCCCCAAAGTCGACTGGGACGCCTTCGTTTCTGCAACACCCCCGAGGAGATCGCGTGCCTCTGTGATGACTATGATGAGACATGTCGCGAATACTTCTTTGACCGAAACCCCACAGCCTTCAGGGTCATCCTCAACTTCCTGGCTGCGGGCAAACTGCGTCTTCTTCGGGAACTGTGTGCCGTATCCCTGCACGATGAACTCGACTACTGGGGTGTAGATCCGGGTCATATGGAGCGCTGCTGCCGCCGCCGCATGATCACCCGCGTAGAGGAGGTGGCTGAAAGAGAGCGTAAGGAAGAGGAGTGGAGGCAGAAGAGGATGATGTTGAAGAAAAACCCACCAGAGGCCGAGAAGGGCCACCGCAGGCTGTTCTGGATACTGAGAGAAGTGATGGAAAACCCCCACTCTGGACTGGCTGGGAAGATGTTTGCCTGCCTCTCTGTCATCATGGTGATGGTCACCGTCATCAGCCTGTGCATTAGCACCATGCCAGACCTCAGAGATGAGGAGACCAGGGTGAGTTTGTTGCAGTGCCCTTCCTCTAAAAGGTTTTCAGAATTGCAGTGTTATCTGCAT